CAATTAGATTTCTAAAAAGTGGTCTGCTTTAAGGAATTATGTTAAGAAGTAATAACGTGGGTGTCACTGCCATACAACAAAAGTTATGTGAATGTTTATGTTGGGGAAGCATTGCTTTGTACGATAAACAGTAATATTGTGTTTAGACAACATGGTCTTTAATACCGCTTAGAAAGTGGTGGGTTGTCAGAGAACATGTACATGATTGACAGTTATTTACTGAGGAAGGTCTAGATTTCCAATATTTCTTGAATTGTGTGTATGTGTGCGTGTGCATGTGTGTGTAATTTTCCTTTGACTTCTAAGAGTTTGTGTTATAGAAGCTTGATGAAATAGCCATGATTAATTACAACCCTTTTTATGAAAAGGATTTCAATGAAAAAGCAAGCTTTCTTTTCTTCTCTTTTTTTAAAGGAAGAGGTTTCCTTCTATAATCAAGACAATATATTCTTTTAAAGTGGTATTTCTTGACATTTATAGTGCTGGTGACAAGGTCATAATTTCCATCGTAATGAGATGCCTTTTAATAATGCATAACCCCTAACGTAGAAAGCAGCGCAACATCTCACAGACTGTGTTCATGGTGAATATTTCCTGCCAAGGTCTGGGAGTGTCTGAGTAGGTCACATGTTGACTTAGCAGCTCCAGTGGCCTTTCCTCTATGGTGCGCCGTAATCCAGGCCTCTTCCAACTGTGTTTGAATAGACCGAGATGCTTTGAGCAAAGAATTCTGGATTTTTCTGCTTTTATTTCAGAGAATGGTTAACTGTGAATAAAGGCTCTCAGTGAATTCTCATGAGTTTTTAATGGTCATAGCTGAGAATGAGGAGGAGGTGATAGGATTGGATTTTGACTTTAGAAACACTTGGGTTTTTGTTTCCCCCAGTGTTTGAATAATATCTCATGCAGAGGTATTGCCACTGCCACAAGGGGAGAAAAAAAGATTTCATCCAGTTATATGCGCGCGCGCGCGCGCACACACACACACACACACAGAGTGATTAGGAAGTAATGGATACATACAGTAAACGTTTTTAAATACATAACATGTTTAAGAAGGGGATGAAAACAAATCACTCATTCTTTCGTGGCTGTATCTGAGCCTCTGTGTGTGTCACTGCACTGGCTGTGCCTCCTGAGGACATTATTGCTCACCACATTTGTACCTGGTGGCGTAGCTGGAGTATTGTACCAAATGTTGTCAAATATTCTTTTAAAATGAGGTTTTAATATTCTGCAGATAGGAATAACAAAGCTTTCCTGTGAGTTTCTAAAATCCACTCGAGTCTGAGATTGACGTGGTGTGGATAAAGCCACTGAGATGGTATTAACCTGTCTTTTAAACACACACATGAGCTATAAAAAGTGCGACTTGGAAGTGCCCAGCACAATGACGGGAGGTCATAGGGTTTCATCTGTATTTATTAAATAACCACGAAAAACATCACTGTAACAGAATAATTGACACATATTATTGGTCAAGCTGTGACATAGTAGGCATATTTTAGGTAAGCACCTTCTATAATGTAAAAGGAATGCAGTTATAACTTTAAGATGGCCACAGTAACTAAAGCCAGTCCCTGTTCATGTCGTTGCTTGCTGCTGTGATTTAAGAGATTGTGTACTGTATGATTTGCGTTACAGAACCACTTCTCTTTCTAATATCTGTAGCAGATTTGAATTATACAATAAATTTTGCAAAATCGCCCTTGTCTCTCCCACCTATGGCTGTACTTTCATGTTCACTGGCTTTAAAACATGAATGATGAGAGGAAAACTATGGTGCCAAGTATCTGCCTCCATTTGTCAGCGTTTACATTCTCCATTAATTACTGATGTTGTGCAGTCAGTAATACACAGCACCGGAAAGAAACACAAGCTTTGTTAGAATAGAACATCTTTTTTTTTTTCCTGTGTGTTTTCCTATAGATTTGCTAAACATCTTCACATCTTCAATCCATTCCGTTGGATGTCATTTAATTTGGTCTTCGTTTTTGCAGAACATGCATAGCATAAAGGTGTTAAATGTTTTTTCTTTGCAGCTGTCACTTTGTGTTTCTTATTTATTTCCTTGGATAGGTATCTTCCCCCTTGCAGATGTTTCTTTGTGTTTCTTCTTGACTTTGTTTTGTTTCTCAGGCAGATCATCATTTCCTTAGCAGAGATGGAAGACAAGATCTGTCTTGAAGCCACTCTGCCTTTGCTCTTCCTCCCTGATGGGTCTGGCTTCGTGCAGCTGCCCGTCCCTTCTCTGATGCAGTGATGGTTAACTTGAAGGCGCACAGCTGCCCAATCTCTTTTGATGTTTCCTGCTTCACACGGGGACTACTCTTCTTATTCCTGTGTTGAGAAATTTAAGCAAGACCTGCCATTGAAGCAGCATTGTGTAACATGATTTATATTCGGGGTATTGTTATCACGTCTCTGGAAATAACCTCCAGTTCTTTTAATTAAATTAGTGACTAACTTCCAGGAAATAACCCAAAGGTCATGATTATCATTGCAGTTCTAAAGGCGTATGTATAAGGAAAAACAAGTCAATTATCCTTTTGGGTTTCAGTTAATTTGATTCACACATTGCTCTCTATAATGTTGTACAAACAAAGGAAAGCAGTATTTGTTCTTCACATACTGCAGATTTCTGTTCATTCCCATTCTTATGGATAAAATGTCCTATGCACTTAAAGCATCAGCACACAGTACGTAAAACAACAAAACCCGAAAGAGGTAAATTTTGATATTGGCGTTATCCCTTTGACTTTCGATTCATTCACTATTACTCAGTTCCTCTATCTGCTAACATATATATATATTTTTTTTTTTTAATTTATCTATTAACATACATACTGTTTTACATGAATTTCCAACTTTTCTGGGAGAATTATTATTTGAGACTGCTCTGAAGCTTAAAAGTGCTGTTAAACAAGTATTTTCATTTATCATGAATATGGTTTTAAGTCCTTGCACAAGGAACAGAGGTAAATATACATTTAAACATTCCTCCTAGGTATTGTGAAAAAAGAGTATTATTTCAATTCTGCAAGGCAGAAAAAGTGCTCTAGCTTTCTGAGAGTTTGCAGTTTGAAACTTACATTTTTTCAATCCATTGTGAAGTCCCCTGCAGGCAGAGCTGTGTCTGGGTATTCAGCTGATAGCAGAAGCATTCTTCCCTCTCATCCTCACCATAACCAGATCCAACAGGGTCTGGTTCATAATTTATCTCAAGTTAGTCCATTTGATAGAGCTGTCTCTTCTAATGCCAACCAGGGAAGGTCATGAATCCGAGTGAATTTGTTAAGGCCTGGACAAGACAAGATCAACATGGAAAATCTTTGCTATCTTACCAGCCCCCAAACTTTACATTTCCTGAGGCCACTTTGCACAGTTCAGCATGCTTTCACCAGTTACAGCTGGGAATATGAACTTCTTCGATAACACAGGACAGACATGGGGACACCTAAACGAGAAGGTCATTCACACGCAGCATTTCACCTCCTTCACATCTATCTGCACGACAAAATACTGAGAAAGTGGAACCTATTTCTACAGGGTTTGGTTCTATTATTTCTATTTGCACCACCATCAAATTTCAGATATGTTAGGAAGTTCTTTCATGTAATTCTGAGACATCAAGTCCTATGAACACCACAGCACTATTCCTGTGGTCCTCCCTCTATGAGAAATACTTTCCTAGAGCTCAGAAACTGGTCTCTATGGAGACCAGATCTAGAAATGATTTATCTTAGCATAACACATTTTTAGGACCAGACTTTTCCAGCTAAATGCATAGTTATTTCATATACCCAGCAATAGAAATGTTTCCAAAATAGTACTTCCAATTAGGTAAAAATATTATAATTATGGGAGTGGTTAACCTTGTATTTATCAATATATTTTTGCCACATATCAGTATTAAAAGTATTCCCACTGTTACTTCAGTGGGAAAGAAGGTTGTCCCATTAGCAATTTGGGTTAAGATAGAAACAAAAGTGTTCTTGACTTACTTGGGAACAAAAGATATTCTGTAGATAGAGCTGAACCCACAATGATTATACCAATGCATTTCACCGTAAAGTTTCTAGTTTACTTCTCGATTATTCCTCTGAAAGATTTACTGTAATAATTCCCATATTATAGGTGAAATAAGGAATAAGAGTGACATCAACCTTTCTAGTAATCATAGAGTAAATTTCTCACTGGCCTCACTCCTATGTAAAGCCATTTTCAGTCCTGGAGCATAAGAAATATCTTTCTTAGTATTAATAAAAGAACAGGAGTTACAGAGAAAACAATGGCTTAGCTATCCAAGGGATGCTGAAATAAGGAAAGGGATAATTTTTATAGGATTGGGGATATTAAAAAATACAATAATGCAAGGAGAGTAGAGAGACTTAGAGTTTATGACAAGACTACAAAATCTGTCCTTTTCTTTTTCCTTTTTTTTCACTTCTTGCAACGTATCGATTATATCTTCGTGCGGTGGTGATTTGGGTAGAAATGGCGGTTTCAGTGCCTTTTCTGTACCTGTTTCCAATTGATTGTTGCTCATACTTCCTGGGGTTTTGCTGGAGTCTCTCTGTCATGCGGGAGGAGGAGAGGGAAGAAACTCGCCTGGTTGAAATTGCATTTACTCTGCTCTAGGAAGAAATGAAAAGATCCATCTAATTGCTACTATGCAATTGTAGGACTGCCCATCTGGCCTGAAATATATAGTATGTTTTCATTTCGCCACGAGGCTGACTCCTGAGGGGAATTAGTTTCCTGATGAAATTATAGCCCCTGCTCTTATAGGTTTTAAAGCAGCACTGAAGTAAATCTAAAGCGCTAGCCACTGAAATAGAGCCTCAGAGATCACTGGAATTAGGTCAGCTTTCCTAGGTTCATTTTGAAAAATCAGTTTCCAAATTGAGATTTGTGGACCTGGAAAAGTCCATTTTGTTCATTTCCATAACTTTAGGAAAATCCATTCAGTTGCTCGTCCTGGGTAAAAGCTCACTTTACCTGCGTGTGCTGTAGCTGAGCAGGGGCAATGTATTTTCCTAGAAAGAAGAACGCAGATGCTATAGCTGACTGGTTTTCTTTTCATGAGTTGTATATTGATTTATATTTTAATGAAACTTTGGCCGGTCTACTAAATGTAAGTTTCTCAGAGACAAGATGTTAATCTGTATTTAATGCATGTATCATAAGGTTAAATCTGGCATGAAAGGCAATTGAGATTACCACAGTTCTTTGGTTCAGTGCTTTACGGGAGAGAACAGAAGCACAAATCTAATTTTACAAGGAAATTGCTGAAAGAATTGATGTAATACAATGGGTATAATAGAACAAGGTATTTAAAATGTGCATGCTCAGGTGGGTAATAAGCACTGAGACATTATCAGAGGCCACTGGAAAAGCACAGTTGCTAAAAAGACCCTACTGTCTTTTGATAGCCATAAGTCAGGTTATTAACTTTGTCTTTTTTCAATTTGATGTTTTACTATTAAGGTGACTTCAAGCATATTTTATCTTGAACGATCCAAACAAAAAGTGTATGTGTGTGTGCATGAATTTGAATATATAATTATGTATATATATATATATGGCACTGTGCACAGGTATACAGCAGAACACTGCTGGAATGCTGGTGTTGGGTGAAACGGAACTCCAGTCAGAGCCTGTGACCGTTTCAATGAGAAGAATGTTTTATAGATGGGCAGCACTGAGAGGCAATTTAATCACGTGTATATATGTGAATGTGTGTTTATAGAAAAATAAATACAAATATGCCATTTTATTATAACATTAATTAGAAAGGGCATGCATCGCCATCCTTGGAATTTCCTTCGCATTTTAAAATAAATTTTTAAGGAGGGAGAGAAGGAGTTGAAAGTGATTTACAAAGTTTAAAAAATGCGAAGTTAAGTGGAGGTGGTGAGGCCAGCATCCCACTGAGAATCGAGAAGAATGACAGTAGAGTCTGCTGCTGGTCTTTTGGGCAGGTGTGGCCACACTTTCCCCACTTTTCTGATGCCACCTGCTCATGGTCCATTTGCTGTAGTGGGTTAGATCCTAAGAAATAAGGAGCAAAGTAATCAATGACCCAGGTGAGCCCCGGAGACTGCAGGGTGACAGAGGAAAAAGACAATCATGAACCAAGGCTCTGACGGAGCAGAGACCACCTGAGATGGCCTGTGTGGAGGGACTCATTTTGTGGATTTCTGGATGAACCAAAAAGCAAGAGAGGGCAGATCGATTCGATATTATAGATAATTACTTAACTATCTATACTCTCTCTGATTGAGCAGTCTGGGTTTTGCAGTGGGCATTAACATTACATTTATGAACTTAATATCACTGATCATTAGAGAAATGCAAACCAAAGCCACAATGAGATATCATCTCATACTAGCCAGAAGAGCTATAAGTAAAAAGTAAAAAGTAACAGATGTTGGCAAGGTTGCAGAGAAAAGGGAGCCCTTATACACTGTTGGTGGGAGTGTAAATTAGTTCAATCATTGTGGAAAGCAGTGTGGCAATTCCTCAAAGAGCTAAAAACAGCTCTTTGAGCTGTTTGATCCAGCTCTTTGATCCAGCAGTCCCATTATTGGGTATATACTCAAAAGAATATAAATCATTCTACCATAAACACACAGGCACGCAAATGTTCATTGCAGCGTTATTCAAATTACCAAAGACATGGAATCAACCTAAATGCCCATCAGTGACAGGCTGGAAAAAGAAAATGTGGTACATACACATCATGAAATACTATGCGGCTATAAAGAAGAATAGATCATGTCTTTTATGGGAACATGGATGGAGCTGGAGGCCATTATTCTTAGCGAACTAACACAGGAACAGAAAACCAAATACCACATGTTCTTACTTATAAGTGGGAGCTAAATGATGAGAACTCATGAACACAAAGGAGGGAACAACAGACACTGGGGGCTACTTGAGGATGGAGGGTGGGAGGAGGGAGAGAAGCAGAAAAAAATAACTATTTGATACTGGGCTTAATACCTGGGTGATGAAATAATCTGTACAACAAACCTCTGTGACACTAGTTTATCTGTGTAACAAACCTTCACATGTACCCCTGAACCTAAAGTTTAAAAAAAAAAAAAGCATAAACTCCAAAAGGACATTTTCAGAAGGAGGTGCCTTTTTTTTTTTTTTTTTTTTTTTAGATAGAGTCTCGCTCTGTGTAAAAGTCACTCCAGCACTTCAGGCTGGAGTGCAGTGGCATGATCTCAGCTCACTGCAACCTCCACCTCCTGGGTTCAAGTGATACTCTTGCCTCAGCCTCCTGAGTAGCTGGGATTACAGGAGCCTGCCACAACAACTGGCTAATGTTTTTGTATTTTTAGTAGAGATGTGATTTTACCATGTTGGCAAGGCTGGTCTCGAACTCCTGACCTCAAGTCATCTGCCTGCCTTGACCTCCCAAAGTGCTTGGATTACAGGCATGAGCCAAAAGATGTCCTATTTTAAAAGCAGTATGTTAAGTAGCATTGGAAGAACAAATTAAGCATCAAGAAATACAGTGGATTCATTCCTAATAATTTATAGAGCTTTCAATGGTTAATGCACAAGAAGAACATGTGTTTTTCTCTATGCTTCCCCTCACTACCATCAAAGGCCACTGACAAGATACCTTTTTAATAATTGTATTCTATTTCTGGCTGTGCGTGGAGGCTCATGCCTGTAATCCCAGCACTCTGGGAGGCCAAGGCGGGTGAATCACCTGAGGTCAGGAGTTTGAGACCAGCCTGGCCTATATGGTGAAATCCTATCTACCAAAAATACAAAAATTAGTTGGGTGTGGTGACGCATGCCTGTAATCCCAGCTGCTCCAGAGGCTGAGGCAGGAGAATCGCTTGAACCTGGGAGGTGGAGGCTGCAGTGAGCCGAGATTGTGCCACTGCACTGCAGCCTGGGTGACAGAGTGAGACTCCATCTAAAAAAAAAAAAAAAAAAAAAAAAGAGAATAAGGAAAATTGTATTCTATTTCCTAGAACTATTTTAGATGATTACATATAATCTGCTATGATCTGAATGTTTGTTTCCCTCCAAAATTCATGTTGAAACTTAACCCTTACTGCAAGAGTGTTAAGAGATGGGGCCTGCAGGGGGTCATCCGGTCACAAGGGCTCCACCTCATGAATGGGACTAGTGCCCTAATAAAAAAGCTTCAGGCCGGGTGCAGTGGCGGACTCCTGTAATCCCAGCACTTTGGGAGGCGAACACGGGCGGATCACAACGTCAGGAGATTGAGACCTTCCTGGCTAGCACAGTGAAACCCCGTCTCTACTAAAAATACAAAAAATTTAGCCAGGTGCAGTGGCAGGTGCCTGTAGTCCCAGTTACTCAGGAGGCTGAGGCAGGAGAATGGCGTGAACCCGGGAGGTGGAGCTTGCAGTGAACCGAGATCACACCGTTGCACTCCAGCCTGGGTGACAGAGTGAGACTCCGTCAAAAAAAAAAAAAAAGCTTCAGAGAGCTGCCTGGCCTTTTTGCCGTTTCACCATGTGAGGATACCCAGGCAGTGCCATCTGTGAGAAACAGGTTCTCATCAGATGCTGAATCTGCCAGTGCTTTAATCTTGAACTTCCCAGCCTCCAAGACTGTGAGTAATACATTTCTGTTGTTTATAAATGACCCAATCTCAGGTATTTTTCTATAGCAGCAGGAATGGATCAAGAAAGAAACTTTATTTTACTTGGTGACCCTGACATTTTGCACCAAAAAGGGAGTGGGCCTAGGGATTTTATTTAGTAGATAAGTCCTTCAAGTGGTAAGGCTAAAATTCTGTTTGAGAATTAAAAGGTCCTAGATTCTGTGAGTCCTGAATGCAGAGTTGATGGTCAGAACCTGATACGGTTTGGCTCTGTGTCCCCACCTGAATCTCATCTTGTAGCTCCCATAATCCCCTGGTGTTGTGGGAGGGACCCGGTGGGTGACGATTGAATCGTGGGGGCGGGTCTTTCCCGTGCTGTTCTCGTGATAGTGAATGGGTCTCATGAGATCTGATGATTTTAAAATTGGGAGTCTCTCGCACAAGCTCTTTCTCTGCCTGCTGCCATTCAGGTAAGATGTGACTTGCTTCTCCTTTCTTTCCGCCATGATTGTGAGGCCTCTCCAGTGATGTGGAGCTGTAAGTCCAATACCTCTTTTTCTGTAAATTGCCCAGTCTTGAGTATGTTTTTATCAGCAGCGTGAAAAGGGACTAATACAGAACCTGTCTCCGAAAGGAGTCACATGCAAATGAAAATTCCAAGCTGTCAAAGCGCACAGGGCAGGTCTGCCTGTCAAAAGCCCTGCGTGTTCTATTGTGGACCTTCATGCATTAGCTCCTTCAACCAGTGTCACCACGATTCGAGGACCTGAGCTGGAGTGGTCACTGGTACCTTACATCAATTACTATCCAAGTGAAAGAGGACTACCACAGCCTTATCATCTACAGTCTCAGAAGGAATATAGCTCACATCATGGATACCTCATGGCAGCTAATTTTAAGAGTTGACTAAATTTTTTTTTTTTTGAAACGGAGTCTCGCTCTGTTGCCCAGACTGGAGTGCAGTGGCATGATCTCGGCTCACTGCAAGCTCCACCTCCAGGGTTCACACCATTCTCCTGCCTCAGCCTCCCGAGTAGCTGGGTCTACAGGCGCCTGCCACCTAGCCTGGCTAATTTTTTAGTAGAGACAGGGTTTCACCGTGTTAGTCAGGATGGTCTCGATCTCCTGACCTTGTGATCTGCCTGCCTCGCCCTCCCAAAGTGCTGGGATTATAGGCGTGAGCCACCACGCCGGCCCTAGGGTTGATTAATTCTTAAGGCAGGTGCGTTCTAAGGAGTATTTGACTTACCCATAGGAAAATTTGGCACATTTCAGGTACCACGGATGACCTGAAAGAGGATTTTGATACAACAGTTGCAAGGGAGATGAAAGGATCACAACAGAACCTTCAACGTAGAAAAAGCAAAGATGGGCATGAGTTTATGGCTGGGAGCTGGTGCTGTGTGTAGGTGGTGGCCTGGGCCCGTGGGTTAAAGGTACCAGGAAGTCGGCCCATTCCTTTCCTTCTCCCAAATTTCTCAGCAGTTAGATGCTCACTCGTTGGAGTTAAGAAATCAGGGAGGACAAGTTTG